GTTTTCAAAATGCCAAAACCTTTGTGAAAATCTCCCAGGGCATGAAGGACAAAGGCCATAACAAGGACCCGAAGCAGTGCCGCGTGAAACTGAAGGAGCTGAGGCAAGCCTACCAGAAAACCAGAGAGGCAAACAGCCGCTCTGGGTCAGAGCCGCAAACATGCCGCTTCTATGATGAGCTGCATGCCATTTTAGGGGGTTCAGCCACCACTACCCCAGCCGTGTTGTTTGACTCCTTCAATGGAGATGGAGGCAATACGGAAGCAGGTTTTGGGGACGAAGAAGATAGCTCACAGCAAGCAAGCGGAGAAACCGGTTTTCCCGACAGCCAGGAACTGTTTCTCACCCTAGACCTGGAGCCAGTACCCCCCGAACCCACCCAAGGCTGCCTCCTGGACCCAGCAGGCGGAGAAGGGACCTCTGGTGAGTGTACCTTTTAAAATACTATACATGGTTTAAAAGCAAGCATGTGAAAGGATTACTTTGCCCTGGCATTTGCGGTTCTCCTAGATGTAGTCCTAAAGCCTTTGCAAAAGGTTCCTGGGGAGAGCAGCCTTATTGCGTCCTTCATGGTAGGACACTTTACCACTCCAGGCCAGTAACACGTACTCAGGAATCATTGTAGAACAAAGCATTGCAGTGTATGTTTGCTGGCATTCAAACAACATCCGTTCTTTATCTCTCTGTGTTATCCTCAGGAGAGTGAGATATAATTCATGGTCACCTGGTTGAAATAGAGTGCTTTTCTTCAGGGGACACTCAGAGGAGCCCATTCCTGCTGGGCTGTTTGCCTGTGGCTAAACAGAAATGTTCCCCGCTGTTAGCCACAGGGAGGGAGGGAAGGTTGAGGGGGTAGTCACGCGGTGGGAGGAGGCAAAATGCGACCTTGTGACGAAAGCACATGTGCTATGTATGTAATGTTAACAGCAAGGTTTACCCTGAAAGAGTGTAGCCACTGTTTTATAAAATGTGTCTTTTTAAATACCGCTGTCCCTTTTTTTTTTTTTTTCTCCACCAGCTGCATGTGTTTCAATGATCACAGGATCTTCTCCTTCCCAGAGGCTAGTGAAGCTTAGAAAGAAAAAAAAAAAACGCACTCGCGATGAAATGTTCTCCGAGCTCATGCTGTCCTCCCACACTGACAGAGCACAGACGAATGTGTGGAGGCAAATAATGTCAGAGTGCAGGAAAGCACAAAATGACCGGGAGGAGAGGTGGCGGGCTGAAGAGAGGGCTGAAGCTCAAATGTAGCGGCAGCGTGATGAGAGGAGGCAGGATTCAATGCTGAGGCTGCTGCAGGACCAAACCAGTATGCTCCAGTGTATGGTTGAGCTGCAGCAAAGGCAGCTGGAGCACAGACTGCCACTGCTGCCCCTCTGTAACCAACCGCCCTCCTCCCCAAGTTCCATAGCCTCCACACCCAGACGCCCAAGAACGCGGTGGGGGGGCCTCCGGCCAACCAGCCACTCCACCACAGAGGATTGCCCCAAAAAAAGAAGGCTGTCATTCAATAAATTTTAAAGTTGTAAACTTTTAAAGTGCTGTGCGGCATTTTCCTTCCCTCCTCCACCACCCCTCCTGGGCTACCTTGGTAGTCATCCCCCTATTTGTGTGATGAATGAATAAAGAATGCATGAATGTGAAGCAACAATGACTTTATTGCCTCTGCAAGCGGTGATTGAAGGGAGGAGGGGCAGGTGGTTAGCTTACAGGGAAGTAGAGTGAACCAAGGGGCGGGGGGTTTCATCAAGGAGAAACAAACAGAACTTTCACACCGTAGCCTGGCCAGTCATGAAACTGGTTTTCAAAGCTTCTCTGATGCGTACCGCGCCCTCCTGTGCTCTTCTAACCGCCCTGGTGTCTGGCTGCGCGTAACCAGCAGCCAGGCGATTTGCCTCAACCTCCCACCCCGCCATAAACGTCTCCCCCTTACTCTCACAGATATTGTGGAGCACACAGCAAGCAGTAATAACAGTGGGAATATTGGTTTCGCTGAGGTCTAAGCGAGTCAGTAAACTGCACCAGCGCACCTTTAAACGTCCAAATGCACATTCTACCACCATTCTGCACTTGCTCAGCCTGTAGTTGAACAGCTCCTGACTACTGTCCAGGCTGCCTGTGTACGGCTTCATGAGCCATGGCATTAAGGGGTAGGCTGGGTCCCCAAGGATACATATAGGCATTTCAACATCCCCAACAGTTATTTTCTGGTCTGGGAATAAAGTCCCTTCCTGCAGCTTTTGAAACAGACCAGAGTTCCTGAAGATGCGAGCATCATGCACCTTTCCCGGCCATCCCACGTTGATGTTGGTGAAACGTCCCTTGTGATCCACCAGAGCTTGCAGCACTATCGAAAAGTACCCCTTGCGGTTTATGTACTCGGAGGCTTGGTGCTCCGGTGCCAAGATAGGGATATGGGTTCCGTCTATAGCCCCACCACAGTTAGGGAATCCCACTGCAGCAAAGCCATCCACTATGACCTGCACATTTCCCAGGGTCACTACCCTTGATATCAGCAGATCTTTGATTGCATGGGCTACTTGCATCACAGCAGCCCCCACAGTAGATTTGCCCACTCCAAATTGATTCCCAACTGACCGGTAGCTGTCTGGCGTTGCAAGCTTCCACAGGGCTATCGCCACTCGCTTCTCAACTGTGAGGGCTGCTCTCATCTTGGTATTCATGCGCCTCAGGGCAGGGGAAAGCAAGTCACAAAGTTCCATGAAAGTGCCCTTACGCATGCAAAAGTTTTGCAGCCACTGGGAATCGTCCCAGACCTGCAACACTATGCGGTCCCACCAGTCTGTGCTTGTTTCCCGAGCCCAGAATCGGCATTCCACAGCATGAACCTGCCCCATTAGCACCATGATGCATGCATTGGCAGGGCCCATGCTTTCAGAGAAATCTGTGTCCATGTCCTGATCACTCACGTGACCGCGCTGACGTCACCTCCTCGCCCGGTATCACTTTGCCAGGTTCTGGTGCTGCATATACTGCTGGATAATGCGTGTGGTGTTTAATGTGCTCCTAATTGCCAAAGTGAGCTGAGCGGCCTCCATGCTTGCCTTGGTATGGCGTCCGCACAGAAAAAAGGCGCGGAACGATTGTCTGCCGTTGCTCTGACGGAGGGAGGGGCAACTGACGACACGGCTTACAGGGTTGGCTTCAGGGAGCTAAAATCAACAAAGGGGGTGGCTGTACATCAAGGAGTATTTCAGGCAGGACTTCACGGAGGGTTCCAATAAGAAATGGTGCACCTAAGTTAATCGTTCTTATTGGAACAAGGAGGTTAGCCTGGCCTCTGATTGATACATGGCTAGATTTACCTCGCTGCACCTTCTCTGTGAGTGACTGCAGTGTGACCTAGAGGAATGAGTCCCCTAGACAGGGGAGGGGGGGAAGCAAATGAGTACAAAACAAATCTGGTCTATTTCTTGTTTTGATCCACTCCATCTATCTTTTACATCTTTGGCTGGCAGCAGATGGTGCAGAAGGACTGCATGCCATCCACATCTCATGGCTGCTCGGCAGAAGATGGTACAGTACGACTGCTAGCCATCCTCATCTCTTGCCTGCCTGGCAGAAGATGGTACAATACGACTACTAGCAATCCTCATCTCTTGCCTGCCTGGCAGAAGATGGTACAGTACGACTGCTAGCAGTCCGTATCGCCTGCCCGCTCACCATAAGACGGTTCAATAGGACTGACTGCAGGACTAAAGAGAATGACCTGGTCAAGTCACTCCAAATTTAGTCCCTGCGCCCATGTCTGCCCAGGCGCTCCCGGCCGACGTGGCCAGGAGCACCTCGGACATGACGATGACGGCTACCAGTCGTACTGTACCGTCTGCTGCCACAAGGCAAGGGGTTGCTGCTACTGTGTAGCAATGCCGTACCGCGTCTGCCAGCACCCAGGAGACATAGGGTGACGGTTACCTGAGCGGGCTCCATGCTTGCCGTGGTATGGCGTCTGCACAGGTAACTCAGGAAAAAAGGCGCGAAATGATTGTCTGCCCTTGCTTTCACGGAGGGAGGGAGGGAACGGGGGCCTGACGATATGTACCCAGAACCACCCGCGACAATGTTTAAGCCCCATCAGGCATTGGGATCTCAACCCAGAATTCCAATGGGCAGCGGAGACTGCGGGAACTGTGGGATAGCTACCTACAGTGCAACGCTCCAGAAGTCGACTCTAGCCTCGGTACTGTGGAAGCGCTCTGCCGAGTTAATGCACTTAATGCACTTAGAGCATTTTCTGTGGGGACACACACACTCGAATATATAAAACCGATTTCTAAAAAAACGACTTCTATAAATTCAACCTTATTCCATAGTGTAGACATACCCTAAGGTGCCATAAGTACTCCTTTTCTTCTTCTGTGTGACAAGACATCCCTGATTTCAAGTGGAATGCTCCAAAGACCCTTTTTCCCACCCCCTCCGGTTGAAAGTGGATTACAAATCTATGAACCCCCCTCCTTAGCTACAGGAGGATTAGCACAGTCCAACAGCTGCCCCCCTCCTCCCCCCCGCACACAGAGGTCTGCTGGCAGGCTCAGAATAATCCAACCCCCACCCCCGTTAGAACCCGCCACAAACGCCTCTGACGCCGCGGCTACAGGTCCGACAGCACGGTCTGACCCGCAGGGACAAGGCAGAGGTAGACCCCTAGAACTGCAGGAGGAACAGAACATTCCATACGCATCCCCGCGGATTAGAACGTTCCAAACCCCTCCACCACCCCTCAGGTGCAAGAAGGAATAGAACCTTCCGCTGCCCCCATCATGCGGGGGGGTAAACTCCTACCATTCCCCTCCACCCGCTTAAGGGCCAGGCAGAATATTCCAAACACCCGCGGGGGGGGTGGGTGGGGGGAGGAGCGCCCTGCAGGCACAATGAAATCGCCCTGGTTCCCTCCTCTCCCGCTAGCAGTGACCCCGCAACCCTAGAATTCTGACATCCCGGAAGCTCGTTACGGGAAGCCCCGCCTTCTTCGTGACGTCACCCCCTGGGGGGCTTGGGCCAATGGGTATCCGAGTTGGGTCTGGGAGGACGGCAGTGACCCGTACTGCCTGTACAGGACGGGATCGGGAATATGGTCCAGGCCTGGGCTGACGCCGCTACTTAGCGAATGGGTGAGCGGGACCCGTACCGTGGCTGGGCTGTGAGGGAGGCGGCGGGGAGGGTGGGGGCTCCCCAGGAGTGTCAAGGAACTGGGTGGGGGGTCGGTCAGGGCCGGACTGGGGCTGCTTGCGGCTCCTCTCGCCCCAGGGCCCCTCCTCGTACACTCTTCACACCCCACCCCCCCCCCCGTCCGATAACGTGTTGGGGCTGCAGGCCCCACAGACTCCCCCCTTGCCGCCCCGGGTGTTTCTGTGCGGGTCCCCGAGCCGGTTCTGCTGGGCCCGCTCGGGGCGGCGCGCGCGTTGGGTGGGGCGAGCGTGCTGGTGAGGAGCCAGTCGAGCAGACCCTCCGCGGTGGCCGTTGAGACGGTCCGTTAACTGGCCCCGTGACCCCGGCGGAGCCGGGAGCAGAGCGGCAGCCCGGGCCGGGCAGGGGGAGGATAGGAGGTGTCTGGCAAGCGCCCGCTCGGCCGCCGCGCTGTCCCCCCGCTGATCGTGCCCGGAGCTGGGGAGCGCTGCCCCGGCGGGCGGGTGCCCGGTGAACTGAGCTAACGGCGTTTTTACTAGTGCTCCCGCTAGCTCTGCCGATGTCCTGACTTCCCCGGCGCGCCTGCACGGGGAGCCGGAGCCTGCAGCCCCGTGGCGTGGGTTTAAAAGGCGACATGACTGCACGCTTGCCAGCCCTTTTTTCCTGTCCCCTCAAACTACTTCTTAATTATTCTGGTCTTTCCATCACATTCAGAAAGGCAGACGTGTAATGCCTGGAAAGAGGCGGCCTGTGACGTCCTCTTCTACTCCTATTTATAACCCAATCCCTGACATAAATGAAATGGCAGCCTAGTTTGGCACCAAAATACCCTCTAAGATAACTTAATGCCAGCATTCATACTGCTTTCATAACAGCCAATAATAAAATGCTACAAGCGACTCGGACACATTGTATGCAAGGTGTAATTATGTTAGAGGATTTTTTAGTGCTCTGAAAGGGTGATCCTGTAGAGTGGGAAGCTGACCTGGGAGTTGCAAGGCATTGGTTCTGTTCCCAGTTCTGCTGCTTGCCTGCTGTGTGGCCTTGGGTAAATCAGTTTGCTTCTTTGTACCTGTTTTCCCATATATGAAATGGGATTAGCTGTGCTTTGACTTCCTTTATAAAGCTCTCTGACCTTTTCAGAGGAAAAGTGCAAGGATAAGAGACAAGTATGATACTTTTTAATATAGGTAACTGAACTGAAATACACTATATGATGAGGTTGGGGGGAGAGAATGGAAATTTAAATGTTTTAAATCTCTAACCAAATCAAGAGAGCACAGAATTGAAAATGGAGATACTTTCCTTCCAGTAATCTATTAATAAAAAACAAAGCTTCATTATTTAACTACAAATCTGAAAATAAGAGCTTTTTCTCTAAGGTGGTGTACAGTTTTTCCTTCTATATGCTGTATCTACTTAAGGATAACAAATTTGTATGATTCTACTCTGGGTGAAATTGGTACTATTGTAATCAACTAGCCTTCTGCCTACATCTATTAAGTCATATGTTTACTTGAATAAATTAAGATTATACCACTACCTACTCTTTTTAACATTGGAGAGCTAGTACCACCATATGAAAGGTAACTGATTTTTTTTCTGCCCCCCTTCTTATAAATAAAACTGTTGTTTGCTGATGGATGAGCCCAAAAGAACAAACTTGACTTTCAAATACAAGATTGAATATCTAGGGCTGGTAGTTAGAAAACATTTTTTTATTTGTAAACTGAATAGATTAATCCCTATTGGTGACTTCAAGTTCAAAACGTGTGCTGTTTTTTACATAGTTTAAAGTCTGAAAAGTGACTGCAGTTTACAGAAAGTTATCTGTATAGTACATATGTTATCTCATAAAAAGTGTTGAGATCTGCAGTATAGGGATATAATAGTAGTTTAATTATGTTCCTTAATTTATTGCAAACAAAAATTTAGTGTAGTTGACTTCAGTTTGACCAGTTTTTAAGGTATTGGTAATCACTGACTTTTTTCATTATGTCACTACTGAGATACTATAGGAAAACGTTAGATGACTACAGCATGTTCCCTTTAAAGGAGCTGAAGGAGACAAACTAAAGAACAATCTTGTGGTAGAAAAGGCAAAAACACTGCTTGATACACATTTGCCACATGTTGATTTGATACTTACAATGTGAAATAGGTTTAAGATTCCACCATGAGGTGTAAGGCAAGTGTGTGTGTTGCAGGCAGGGGATGTATGTCTGTATTTATCAGTGAACTCAATCTATTTGAATATATATTCTTTATAATAATACCAAGAAAATTTATAGAAAAACAACTTTGCGGTAGCACTTAGGAGATTGTCCAGAAAAGTTGAAATGACATTTATATTCTTATTTGAATTCATGAAAAGTTGTCAGAACGTTTACATCCTTATTTGAGCAAACAAGGAAAATAGATTAGTTGGCTAGTAATGGTAACATAACAGCTTGATCCCTTGCTTGTTAGGCAGACAGAGCTGTGAAAGCAATTTGTGAGGCCCTTGGAATCATCACTTCTTTGATATCTTTTTCCTTTTCCTTTCTTGTCATTTTGTGGCTGACTGAAATAAGTTAGGAAATCTCTTTTTGTGCAGCAGTTTGGGACAATCTAGTATGTATTGTGGACAAGCAAAATGTAATTGCTTCCTGTCACGCACTGCTGATCTGCACTTAAGACGCCTGTGTTTCTCTGCTGACCAATCAGTTCTGCTCAACACTGAAAATGAAAACTGGCCTTCCCTAGGTTTTGTTCACTGGGCCCTCTACTTGCTAAATTCTCCCTCGAGTTTTCTAGTATCACATTATTTATAGAGTGCACATGTTGGACTTTTGTATGTCCTTGACTTGTGAAGTGCACATTAGGAAGCAACTGCTGAACAGTGCCATTTATTGTACATGGGGAAACTAAGGTGGAAGGTCAGTCTTTTTCAGATGTACCAGTCAGTCAAAATTGTACCCAAAATTGTAAGTAGAAGTCAGATCAGAAGCTTGTGTGGTTGCTTCTCGTCACCAATCCCAGAAACAACATAGACCAATGTTTCTTTTTGTCCAAATTGAGTTTGTGGATAAGAGGCAGCAACAGCAGTGTCTCTGTTCTCCTCATCCCCAGCATAAAGCCTTAAAGCCACAGAGCAGGATGGATTGATTTTAATCAGAGCAAATTAAATCACTGATTTTAACCATGATTTCAATCAGCAAGCAGGAAACCTTGATTTAAATTATTTAAACTTTAATCTTGTTTTGCATTTCTACTTTTTGATTATTCTCTTAAAGAGAGGTTGACTCTCTGTTGTTAACCGTTAAAACACGTTGAACTAATTATAGTCTTTACACTAAATACTTTTTTGTTAACCAGGAGGATACTCTATCTATATAGTTATATATCTTAACATACATCTATTCAGATTCTTGTCTTACTTTTTTATGTTAGATAATGCTGAATGATGCATTTCCTATTTATTAGATTAATTTTTTTGTTCAAGCTCTATTTGTATGGAAATTGGAATTCAATTAAAAATGCGCAAACTTTTTTTATTAAATAAAACTTAAATGCGCTGGATACATATTTTTTCTTATTAAAACGTGATTTGCATTTACAATTGATTTATTAAACGAAAAGTATTATGCATCTTGAATTGAGCTGAAGACCGTGTCCTCCATGAGTTTAGAGCTAATAGATTTTATCTTATACCTAGTTTTTATTCATAGAATGGAAAAAAGAAAACAATCTTTCCTATGTTTTCAACTCACAGTTGGTTTTATTTGAGCAAACAGGTCGTTGAGCTGTACTAGTGGAATAAGCAGAAATGAAGAAAATAATCTTTTTGTACAGGCAGAAGAGGCTATTGCTGTCAAAAGCTGGTTTAGCTCTTCAACAAACTCTTGTTCCTTGTGCTTAGCCAGTGACTTCCACCAGTTCAGTGCTTTGACTTTCTTTAAAACTTGGCAGCAAACATGTACTACTTAATCTTTTGAAATTATTTTAGTAGTTATAGTTAGGTGAAGCTTTGACATAGATTGTCATAATTTCAAATTTAATATTAAATAGTTTTATTTTAAATTTTTCACAGAAAAAATCTGATGATTTTATTTTTTACCCATCCTGGAGCAGAGGCTCTATCACAAACCCATATTCACTTAAGCATCTTCTCCCTTTCCACCCCAGTCTTTTAACAAGAAAGCATGGTCTCTGAATCTAGAGTGGTGTTTGGTTTTTCAAGTGGTGAGAAAAGTACGTAACAAGTAATAAGTGAACTGAATGACAAAACATAAGTCCAACCATGGAAGATACATACAAGATGTCTAGTGTTCAACACAACTTTATTTTTAAAGACTTAATTTTTAATTTAAAAAAAAAGGCAGCCAAATTGCTTTTTGGGCATGTAACTTTAACATTCAGAGGACCATTAATAAATCATTTTAAAAAAATTTAAATTAAAAAATTCTAACATGGACTACAATAACAGGTTTGCTGATGCAGAAGCTAGTAATTTCAGCCATTCTCATGAGAGAAGATAGCCTTAACATCTAAGATTGTGGGTAATGAATGGGTGGGAGAATCTTTTTGGGGACATGGAGAAATCCTTGCCAGTTGCCTGGATTCAGGTAAGCACTGAGTCATTATAATTATGAAGCAGTAATCCAGTGGAATCACAAATTGCTTGTTTCACTACTGATTTGAAACTACTAACTTCTGTCTCCATGTTCCTCAAAAATAGTTTGTCACTATTTACGACTTTCCTTAAGGTTAAATGTACCTGAAAATTTGTGTACTAGATATACTTGAAAAAAATAGGTTGTAATTGAAGCAATGTTACTTATTAATTTTGTTAGCTTTGAGGCCTCATCGTACCCCTTTTGAAATCAATGAGGAGGTTGCTGCTCACTTTAGTGAGAGCAGCACTGATCATGATAGACCTGTTTCTCTATTGCCTTTTTACACTTATGCAAAACAAGTCGGGGGGTGAGGGGGAGAGACAATA